ACCTCAAAGTTTATTTTCTTGAATACAGCTATGACAGATTGTTAGACGGACAGTTTAAGATAATGCTGGTAATCGGATGCACCATTGTACAATCAAGTTATTATTTTATGAAGCTGTGATAGATATTGGGTTCAAATTGTTGGCAATGTTCAGGAAAACCTTTCAGGGGAAGTGAGATTTGCCGGTATTTGTCAGTGTATTTCTCCTTAGTCATGTTCACATGTGTCTCCATGGTTATTCTGTATATTTTCTTGCTTGTTTTTTCAGTGAATGTCTAGCTTTATTTCCCTCCTACTACTGGGAAAATGTATGAGGATGGATTCAAATATACAGGGATTGTGATTTCATTTATGTTCAAAATTGGTATATTGTGCTAGGGTGGCTAGTAGGGCTGTTACGATTCATTTGTGTATTTGGTGAATTGACCCGCATCTCTTCATGAATTCAATTTGTTATTCGTGATTAGGGACCGTTCATAATTTATGGCTAGGGGGGGTGATGATGATTTTCATGGAGAGAAGCATGTACAGTGTGAATGACACACACACACACACACACACACACACACACACACACACGTATTTATGTACAAAGTAAAGTGACCACGACCTGCATGTCCTGTACAATATCACCCCCACCCCCTTCCCATAGTTTTTAAGCATAATTTTTAAATATTTCTAAGTACAAAATTGCTGACCCCCGAGTGCGTGTGTACAAATGACCCTCCCCTGCCTCCCAGAACATAATGATCCCCCCCACCCTCAAAATCATTATCATCATCACACACCCCCACAACAAAAACCACCCCTTCACCCCCCCAAAACTGCCCCTTACTAGAACTGAATATTCCTAATTTCTTTAAGTTTGAGTGTTATTCATCAAGACGAGGTATGCAAAATGAAATTTATCCGAGCCAGGCAGGATGATAAGTAACACTCGTTGACATTAATGTGGTCACTGGTCATTGTCATGATAAATTAACTCGGTCAACATGGTCAAAACATGCCAGAAAATAGATTCTGTTATTATTTCACGGAATATAAAGAATAATACATCAACAGCAAGTGAGTTAAAGGTCTGACAATCTCAGTCACAATGCTTTTGATCAGTCAAGGTAGGCAGACTGTCTATATATCTCTATTATATGTTTAATAAAGTGTTTTCATTTCTCTTTGAGTGGTAGAGTGGAGGGAAGAGAAAACTGCCCCGACCTTGGTATTGGATCAGTGCTTCCAAACTATTGGAATCCATGTGGAGAAAGCAATTCATTGTCTCACTACTCTCGGGATAATTGCCAACAAATAGACAAAGTGTCCAAACAGATATATTGACATGCATGAAGGATAGGTCAACATGCGTAGATACTTCTTCCCAGGGCAGTTGCTTGTTAATAGCTCACAGCCCTGGGTGCAGTCTGTCTGAGTAATATATGTTGAACAAGGGTTTTCAGGTATTTGGTGATTTAAAAATGTTTAATACAGATTTAAACATTTAAAGGCACCTGTCAAGACTTTTAATGTAAAAGTGTGTTTGTTATGTTTATTGCAAGTGATTGAAGGATTAGAATATTTCTGGTGTTGGAGACTCGGGTTAGAATTAGGGCTGTGCAATATTACCGGTAAACCGGTATATACCAGTACAGCATGTCGCGATACGATTATCGCGATATGGTTCAGATTCAGCAATATATTGGGTCATCCAGAGTTAGCTCCCTTTGCATTATCTGCCCTTGATTTCCAAAGCAAAAAAAAATGCAAAACAATAGCAAAGCTCTAAAAGTGCCAAATATACTTTTATTTCTGTTAGTATCATGTAACATTTTACAAGTGGGAGTATCTTTATAAGTGGCTCAGAAAGAGCCAAATATTCTACCAAATGCGTTACATTTTGTGAGTTTGAATGGTTTCATATGTGACATTTTGGAGGAATTAAGGGACCGCTCATAATTTATGGCTTGGGGGGGTGATGATTTTTATGGAGAGGCATGTACAGCGTCTCAAGTATCCCGGTGCTTCTGATTATTGAGGAGAAGTAAACCCAAGTACAAAAATTTAATTTATATCAATATTGCACTTTGATTTACTAGCGATTGCACGCTTATAATTTTGTTTATTTGTTTTTTCATAAACAGCAATGTATATTATAAGTCATGAATAAATGCTAATTGTGTTTTAATTATGTTTGTTTTTGTTTTTTCATTAAAAAGTGTTGCATGTGACCTTTAAGTTCAAGTAGTTCACCTAAATATTGTTTTTGTTTCATGTTGCAATAGTTTATGTTAACACATGTTTATATGTTTATATTGGAGTTGAATTTGAATTAATCACTGACATACAGTAATAGTAACTACAAGCTGCATTGGAGTGCATTCTGTTGAAGCACTGACCATGAAACGTATGTTATACTATTTCTATCATTATGTTCAAACCTTTGTTGCAATACCTCAAGTAAACATTTCACATTAAGGTTCTATATCATTTTATTTATCTGTAAGGCATTGGCATACAGCCATGCACAATGAGGACTGGGAGCCTAAAGTATGGTGTTACAGCAACTAAAAAGATAATGTTGCGCACAGAGAGCTATTATGAAGTTTTAATGTATGCGCTTGGAATGAAACCCTACATTCAATATATCACAATATATATTGCAATATCTCTTAAATTATTGCAATATATCGCAATATGGGAATCAGGGCAATATCTATCCCCAGTTAGAATTGATCTTCAGTAACCCATGCTTGTCGTAAGAGGCGACTAACGGGATCGGGTGGTCAGGCTCGCTGACTTGGTTGTCACATGGCATCGTATCCCTGTTGCATTGATCAGCAATATTTCAACTGTTTCACGGCTGCCTGAAATCCTGAGCAACGGCTGCCTGAAATCCTGAGCAACATGCCCATGAAGATCCGGGTACAGTTGATCTACAGCAACCCTTGCCTGTCGTAAGAGGCGACTAACGGGATCGGGTGGTCAGGCTCGCTGACTTGGTTGACACATGTCATCGTATCCCAATAGCGCAGATCGATGCTCATGCTGATGATCACTGGATTGTCTGGTCCAGACTCAATTATTTACACAGACTGCCGCCATATATCTGGAATATTGCGTAAAACTAAACTCACTCACTCTGGTTTTGGAATAATAAGTTATGTTACAAAAACTTGTGTAGATGTATTTGTTTTCGTTTCTTACGGGGTTTTGTTTTACCTATGGTGAATCCCTGTTTGGAAAAGACATCTAGCAACCTACACTGGCCATTAGAGGCAACGTAAGGGATCAGGGTCTACTTGCAAAAAGCAATCTGAGCGCAATGACAATTGTAAGCAAGTGTCAAGGTATGGGAGTTACGATTACCTTTAGCTCTAAGACCGCTTTGTGCAAGTGGATCCCCATGATCCAGCTTAATGATCTGGTTGATGACATGTCAGGAATGACCAGTCTTTATGGATGATCAACTTCTTTATTGTAATAGTGACGACGTTTCGGGACATGGTGAGGCCTCGTTAAACCGAACAGTGACGTTTTTCATACAAAATGTTCGGATAGTGAAACATTCGTTTTACTGAAATTCGTCCAGTACACCACACTACAGTAGCTTTAGTTCTCTCTCACTTGACTGATAGAGACAAAAGAACGTAAACATGTATCAACCGACTTTATTACACATAACAACTTGGATATTTAAATAATAAGACATCAAAATTCATTGCACAAAATAAATTCACATTGCGGCAGTAATTTCATAGATCTTACGCTTAGATGCGGGACTTGCCATTGTGATTGACAGGTGTCAAATGCAGCTGATCTTACTTTGACATGGGGTGTATTTATATAAAAAAACAACTATGACAGGTTTTGCTCAAACTAACACAAAGCCATTCTCTTCCCACGTAACCTCTGTTCTAATACGGCCCTTTCATGGTGTGAGCGTTCAAGACTCGTGATTGGAGGCAATCAGATTTAGTTGTGCAATCAGCGACGTTGTTTCAAAAGTGATCATTCGCAAGGCCTCGGTAATTTCCGTATGCTTCGAGAAAACTAAACCTCTTCCCCTGCGCGATGCGCAAACGTTTCTTCTAGACAGAACTCAGTCATGTTATGGCGGATCAGTGGAGTCTCCATCGCCCTCGTTGACAACGGACAAGCTAGCCATTAAACGTCTTGTGTGTAACATCAACACAATTCCCCGGCAGATGGGGGATATTTGTGGCCCCACATTTGCTTGTGTTAGTCAAATTGAATCTAAGTTGATGTAACACGTGTTCTGATTGGATAGAAAGAAGGGAGATCATTCGTGTTGCGATCTTTTGCCGCTAAGGGATTTTACGAGAACCGAGAAATATGGCCGTATTAGAACAGAGGTTACGTAGGAAGATATGACAAGTAACCTCTGTGGGAAGAGAATGACACAAAGCGTGACCTGTTAATTATTAAAACTCATGACTTTATCAACTTGCAATGTATTAATTGCCATTGAAGTTTACCGATATTGAGCCCCGCTATTGTTAAGCAATATGGCCGCTGTATGTACAGCCGGACTAATGAGGCAAAAACAAGTACAATTAGCTTATCTGTTACCAATTGATGTTCGGAGACTGAAACATCGGATTAATGAATCAACAACTGATGTGTTTACATAGTAAACAAAATTGGTTACGGCTTGAGTCTGTTTGGATAGTGCGGGAATCAGATAATTGGGGACCGGACCAACGCGGTCTGACTGTAGATTCTTTTTAAGTTTTCATCCATAAAGACTTGTGATTGCTATTACTTGCAACTTCTCGAATGCCTCTCAAACAGTTTGTGGCATGTCATTCTACCCTAATTGTGTGGACCATTCCTCATATTATCAATCACTGGATTGGTTGGTTCTGACTAACATTGACAGCGTGCTGTCAATACCTGGAATATTCTTGAATGAGTTGTGGAAAAACAAAAACACACTAAAACACACTTTCAGTCGCTATCATCCGTTACACATATACTCATTTGTTTCAGATCACCATGGCACAAGTCGGAAGCCTCCAACTGACCAAACCAGCCCCTGAATTCAATGCAAAGGCTGTCGTCAATGGTGACTTTAAAGATGTCAAACTCTCAGACTACAGAGGAAAATATGTGGTTCTGTTTTTCTACCCTCTAGACTTGTGAGTATATGTCGTGAAAATAGACAGCTTACTGTGAGTCACGCAGATAGAATGTTGCCTTAGTCTGCACCCAAAGCATGGAGTAGAATAATTATTCACAAAAAGGATGTTATAAATAATTTATATGCTATGGCAGTGTATATCTTGTTAGTGTGTCGTATATCATAAAATATTGATGGAGAATGGTATTGTAATGTTGATGCACGTATAAGGCCCGAGCTGCAAGTCTTCTTTTTACCCAATTAGCTACACTGAGCTGATTTTTCCTTATTGGTAGGGGCAGTGGGGTAGCCTAGTGGTTAAAGCCTCACTCACTCACTCAGTATTGGTAGTTGTTGAGGGCTTTTTTCCCACATGCTGTACATTATACAACATGGTTAAGAGAGTTTCTTAATTTTAGCGCCCTTGGTTTTTTACACACAGTTCGTCTGGTAGTTTTGACACTGGTTATATGTAAAGAGGAGAATGGTTTTATGATACAATTATGTTACATGTATGATTTAACTTCAGCTCCGACCTTGTCATCACTCAGTTGGGGCAGTGGGGTAGCCAAGTTGTTAAAGCGTTCGGTTATCATGCCGAAGGCCCGGTTCGATTCCCTACATGGGTACAATGTGTGAAGACATTTTCTGGCTGTCGCCCACAGTGATATTGCTGGAATATTGCTAAAAGCAGCATAAAACCAAACTCACTCACTCACTCATCACTGAGTTTATTCTTTAAGTTTGTATTTACATTTAAACTTTTAGGCTTTGGAATTTATATTTCCCTTGTTCGTGGAAAATTTTGTTTGCTTTGGAGTTGCCATCTACTGATACAACGAAATGGAAAGTACATCACAAAAATCAATTCTGTTCTCAACTGGCGAAGTTATGTTATTCATATTTGTTGTTAGGATTTGTTGCAATGATCAAAACATCAACACATCTGGTCATTACTTGTTCTTCCATACATGAACCATGTTTTCAAAGAAAGTTTCCACTATCAACACTGAACGAGTCTAACTGCCATAGTGAGTTCCATTACCTTATTTCCATTACTAGTTACATATATACAGGTTATTTTGTTGTGGATGAATTGGACCGCCTCCGTGTGGTGTAGTGGTTAGAGCGTTAGCCCAGAGAGCAGAAGGTTGCGGGTTCGACCCTTGGCTGCGTCATACCAAAAGACGTTAAAATATGGTACTTGTTGGTTCCTGCCTGGCGCATTTCACCTCACACCTGGATTAAGTGATCTTTAATGAATTAAAAATCTGTGAATTTCTCTGGTTCCTTCACATCGTTGTAAAACAGGACTTAACAATAGAAAGCTCACCTGAAAATGTTTGGTCGTGTGACTGATGGTGGCTTCGATATTGACACATAACATGATCACTATTGACCAATGGATAATCAGTGTTAACTCTCTCTGCCAGAAAACATCATTTGCAAGAATCAATAAACGCTTCACTAATCTGTCTAGAGAAGCCTCATTGAAATGCTTAACTGGAACAGCAGTGACATCAAAAGCTGGACTACAGCACTTTATTGATGACTTTCATCATCAAGAAACCATCTGATTATTCTTTGACATGGTGATTGTCAGGAAAATACTACTCTTGGTGCTGATCCCTAATGTGGACAGACTGCACGCCGGTCTGCATTGACCCATGTCTGAATAAACTGATCATTCCTGCACACAGATATGCTGACTTGCGATGTAGGCTGCTTTCATTGTTACCAGGTTTTTTACATGACGTACAAGTGTGAGTCCAGTACACAGAAAATTAGAAAATGGATGCAGAAAACCCTAAATACTGCATCCAAGGAGGCGCTCAAATATACCTACAGCACTTCAAGAGTAGTTATCAGTGTTGTGTAAATTTCACCCATCAGCCATCACCACTGTCTACATGATCACTGACTCATTCCACTCTCTGAAGTCATTATCTGAAAGTATACACTACACCATTTCAGTACTTTACAGGGACCTCACATTACCAGCAAGGACCCATAAAATGTATTGATGGGGGTCCCCTGGACTTTTGTAAGTCAAGGTAAGGCCAGATCAATTTTATTTTTTGTTTTACGGATTTTTGTCCTCAGTAGTCAAAATCGTTTTCCTTTTAAATACTAAAAGTATTTTATTTTTGGGCAATTTATTAAGTTTATATGGGGCCAAAAACAATCAAATTTTGTTGTTGTTGTAAGTTTACATTTTTGGCCAATAAAAACATGAGGATTTTATTTTTTGAGCGGGGAAAATTAATTTTCAATTTTGAAAAAATATGACCGGAGGCTCTGTAAAACAAGAAATACAATTGGTCTGGCCTAAAGCCTGGTTACTGTTTTCAGTGTAACTACAAAGAGAGAGAAATATTGTTAAAGGTGTCTTAACTTTTGAAAATGAATATTGGTAACTGTTGCACAATGGAGTTTTGTGTGTATGGACGTGGAATGTCCTGGAGTCAGTCTCAGGGTAGAAACAGTATGGAGATAACCTGTGTATCTGCACAAGATACACAAATATTATCACTATTTCTCGGTTAATTTTGATTTGCTGGCAGAGCTCCAGATAAGATTTAGCTCATGTGGGTACTGTACCCACTGTATTTTTTTGTAGTGGGTATTATGAATGTTGAGTGGGTATTTCATTTTCCATTACCCACTGCTTTCAAATATGTGCGTATTTCAGTCATTTTACTCACCTAAGTATTATGTCATTGAGTAAGTTTACTAAGCAGGTATGTTCTGCCTTATGTCATACCTAATCAAAACCAACTTAAATATAATGGAAATTATTTCATAAAAAATCACTCATCCTATACTGACATTACAACACTTGTCCTATACTAACAGTACAACTTGATAGGAATCGATGTCTTTTTCATTATGCAAGCTATTTTTATAAATATATTCCGTACGCATTTTATAAACTTTTTGCGTATCTAACATTTTAAATGCGTAATTGGTACGCAACAATTATTTTTCAATGTCATTCTATGTGTATTTTACCCGGATACACAGCTTATCTGGGCCTCTGTGCTGGTATGCAAGTATGTATGACTTCTTTTTTAAACCAATTTGATTACAATCAAGTGAAAATTCTCTTAATTCGTTTTAGCTCGCATCTTAGTTTTCCCTTGCACATGTTCTGGTAAAACACTGACATCATGCACATTAACTTCACTGCAGTAAACAAGTGTAAACAATGTGTTGCTAATTGTAATGTAAACATCAATGTTATGCCTATAGATACATCACGTTGTTTGATGCAGCACATGGGGTGGTGGGGTAGTCTAGTGGTTAAAGGGTTTGCTCGTCACGCCGAAGACCCGGGTTCAATTCCCCACATGGGTACAATGTGTGAAGCCATTTCTGGTGTTCATCGCCGTGATGTTGCTGGAATATTGCTAAAAGCGGCGTAAAACTACACTCATTCGCTCACTCACTCACTCATGCACCACATGAACAGATACAAGAAAGAAGAATCTTGGAAGTTCAGGAAAAGAATTGTAGTCAGAATCAGAGCTTTTCAGTACCCATTAAGGATCAAATGAAGTTACATTTTGAATGCCCAAAGCAAAATATGATATAGACTCGATATACAAATTAAGCACGAGTTGTGAGTGAGTAAAGTTTTACGCTGCTTTTAGCAATATTCCAGCAACATCACGGCGATGAACACCAGAAAGAGGCTTCATACATTGTAGTGTTGGGAAGTGGTTGAAATCTCACAATTGATGATTGCTTCATTACCAACGAACAATCATCGAAAAAAATTGGTTAGCCTACCAAGGTTGTTATTGCAGATACGTATAACATGATGCAACTTGCTACTTTAAAGTGCTGAGTAATATATCATGAACATAAACTTTCTGGAGTCTTCAAGAAATATTCAGTCATGACTTTTCAGTTAGTGAAGTGAGTTTTCTAAGAATTAAACAAGTTTTCAGGCCCTGACAACTTCGAAGATATGTTCCATGGTCAAGTATTTCAAACACTAAAACACTGTTCGATTATGAGAAAATGTGATCGATTGCTTGGTCGTTTGGTCACTTCAACCAATCTTCGATTATTTCAATTAATCGGAACACCACTAATACATTGTACCCATGTGGGGAATCGAACCTGGGCCTTGGATGTGACAAGCTGACACACTGACCACTAGGCTAACCTGCAGCCACAATAAGTACTAGTTAGTAGCACAGTGTTTAAAAGAGATCAGTAACACTGTGACTGTTGACTTCTAACACCTTGTGACAGTAATTCAATATAATCCGTTGCACACAGTCACATGCAGGATTCAGTGTCACCAGTGTCGCAACTGATATCTTATGTTGTCCGTCTTAGATGATACAACACATTTTGTCATTATCTTATCACACACCTAGTTCTTAATGGTGTAACGATAAGGCAATACAGTATTGTATTACGATAAGAAGCTTAGCATATAGTACACCGATTAGCATGTATCATTATTTCTTGTTAAAATATTCCTCTTATGTTGCAAATGTAATGCCATTGTTCGGCAATTCTAGCAGGGAATGTGAGGAAGATACCTTACATGTATTTAGCATGGTACATTGAAAATACTAGAATCCCAGCCAATCTGAACCTGACATTCATGTGTGAGTGAAGATAAATAGATATATACTCCTTTGATTTAATCTGAAAACTTACGGTATGTGTCTCAATTCTTATACATTCAAATTTTCAATATAAACTTCAAGTTCAAATTGTCACTGTGGCAACCATATTGTAACCATGGTTACAGAGATGTGACCATTAATTAACCAGATTGCACAACACTTCTTGTTTCTTGTAGAAAGTGGATTCCGACATTAGTGATGAGTGTTATACCAGGATAGTCACTGTAATGTACAGAAAACCCTTTACAGAAATACAACCCCAGGTTACCTTGGTTACAGCATTGAAATGCTGATGGCAGTACCAAAAGAGTGATCAGTGCTGGACAAATTAATAACTGGTATTATTGGTAAATGTTTGGACAATAGATTG